GTTCCCACCCAGTCCCTCAAGATTTTTGCCCACTCCCACAAAAAAATCTGTTATTTTAACAGATTAATAACTGATCAAGGGAACATTTTCATACTCATGTCTCCATCATGTTTCCAGGACTTGGTATGAGCTCAGTGAGCTCAGTTTGTACCAATCAAAAATCAAATACCGTGAAAGAGTGTGAGTGGCTGCAAGTTGACTTGTCAGGTACAAAATACATGTAAATACTGTGTTTGAAGCTAGTCATAATAACCTAGTAATGTTGGCTAGGCAAAATGCTTCTATTGAAAGAAAAAAACATTCATCTGTTGGTGAATTCTACTACAAATTGTCTTAACAATGTGTCCTTCTTACTTCTAAATAATAGTAAATATTAGTTTACTTGGTTTTATTGATTACATATCCATTTCGAGGGACTTCTGCATATGATTTTATGCTCCTGCCACCTGCACAACCTCAAAACACCACTAGGTTGTATAGGGTGTGCAGGAGTGCAGGTCTCTACTCTGTGGTTCTAAACCTTTCTGAAAGCTGTTTTCCATTTTTATTGGATAAAGGTCTTTAAAATATATTTTGTCACAATTTCTTCTTGATAAAATATTACAGCTCGGCCTAACTACAAAAACATTATTGTAGAAAGGAAATGCCCTCAGTGGTGTATGATTTCATTCAGCATTCAGACAAAAAAAAAAAACAAACGTTGTGTGATGAAACAAAATGTTGTTTATTTTAAAAACAAAAATATTATACTTTATTTAATTATTATAAATGATTATATAAGTCTTTAACTTCCATTCTAAAGAATTTTTGTTGAACAATTTTGTTGATTAAACTGTTCCATTCTCAATTTCCCCTCTAAGCAAACTTGAGTTTTTTTTTTGTTTGTTTGTTTGAATTATAACTTATGGACAAATACAAGCAATCAAACATTTGCGATGTCAGTTAAAGAGTTAGTTCACCCAAAAATAAAAATTACTTCATTATTAATAATCCTCATGTCATTCCAAACACCTAAGAATTTAGATATTTTAAAATTAAGATATTTTAGATAAAATCTGAGGAGCTCCCTCATCCTCATTGTGCGTTTATGAGATCGATATGCACTTATGTATACCTGGGATGCCCAAACGTGACTTTTTCTGTTTTATTCGAAGCACAGGCACATTTGAGGTTTTATGTGCCTGATAATATTCCAAATCAACCACTAAACCGTGGTCTGTTTTGAGGATGTTTTTTGCCATTTTTAGACACTGAACGAGTCGAAAACTAGCTGTCTATGTAGGATTAGGGTGCTTTCAGATTTCACCTAAAATATCTTAATTTGTAATCATAAACATTCTTTTCATTTTTGGGTGAACAAACCAGTTAAGGTCCCAGGTCTCCACTTTTGAGAACAAGTTTTTTTTTACTTCAGTGTGTAGCTTTTATAGTATGTCTACTTTTTTATTATTTACATTTAAACATTTAAACACATTTAATTAGCATTTTATTTGTTAAATTCTCTCAGTCAAAGACTATTCACATTATATTCATATGCTTGTAGCTGCCAGTGTTTTTGGGCATAAGACTGAGCCCTCTGCAAGTGCTGTTGGTGGACTGGGCAACCCTCATGATCCATGGAATCGTCTGCATGTTCCTCCTGCCTCTTTTCCTTCTGGATCATCTTGGGCCAAAGGCCCTGAGAAAAGAGAAGATAGAGGGAAGGAAGTTGAGAGAAGAGAACTGACTCATATAAAGGATGAAAAGGACAGGTACGGCATTGAAACAACATTATATTACATATTTGTCTGCAATTTTAATTTTCAAAGGATTTTTGTCATTTGTCATAATGCATTGTGTCTCAAAACTTGACACTTAATTGACTCAACTGTTTCACACAGAGACAGCATCTTGTATGGACGCCAACCAGTGCGAATGTCACCTGGTGTCCCATCCCTCAAGCACCGCAGCAGCACCCCAAGTTCACATATAAATGGCTTAGGATCACTAACCGGAAGTGGGGTTCAGTCTGATGGTCAAAGCAGAGAGCGAGAACGGGAACGCGAAAGAGAGTCCGACAAGAGACACCATTCTGCATCCAGGCCTCCAGCGTCTGCTTCCTCCACAGCTCCAGACAGGCCTCGGTCTTCAACATCATCTATCCTCACAACTTCACCTTCTAATGTTCCTTTAGCCACCTCTCCTCTGGATCTGTTTCACCGACAGCCATCACACACACTCGGCACAGAATCCAGCCACTCTTCTCAAAGAGAGAACAACGGTCCAGCCTCTTCTTCCTCTTCTAGTTCACTTCCTGTCAAGAAACCTGATCGAACCACAACTCCAGTATCCAAACCTGCACTTGGTCTTGCCTCTGGGTTGCTTGTAGCCCAAGTCAAGGTCAAAGAAGAACGAAAAGAGGAGCCTGAGCCAGTGCCCATCTCTTACACACATCCTGCTGTACCTTCACATAACTTTGAAAGGCCCAGTAGTCGGCACCCACACCACCCATCCACCCCTTCTTCAACCCTTTCTTTGACACCTACACCTGGCGTGCCTCTTCCTCCTCCAACTCCACACCCTCCCCATCATCCTCTATCTCTTTTAGATCGTTCACGGGCTATGGACTATGGCACAGCTGGACTGGTATTAGGTGCTGCAACAGATCGCTTCGCGCCGCATCCACATGGTCCTCCACAAGGTCATTCCCAACCTACTCCCAGCTTTCCCTGGGAGACTTGGAGGGATCTGGCCATCCATCAACAACAACAACAACAACGCAGAGAATTATTGACTCTGAGGTCTGATCCCCACCTTGCACTTCGCTCTGAACCACACTATAGATTACAGCGCTACTTTGATGCGGAAAGAGCTGTAGTAGCAGCAGCTGTGGCAAACAGCCCGCACCATCCACCAGTACCTACCTCTACATCCGCTGCTTCGGCTTCAGTGGGCAGGCCAGATTTTGGGTTGATTTCCCACCAGTTTGAAGATGAACGCGCTCATATGTTGCGGGATGATAGAGTACGGTATTTCGGGATGCACCCACACCTGGCCGCACCTCATCTTTCTAGCCCATCTCATGCTGCCCACCTAGAACAGCTTCATGCTGGGCTACTATCTCACTCTCATCTCCATCCTGCTGGAGCCGCCGCACAAGCATCACATCACCCAGATTTCTACTCAAGACTTGGGCATCTGCATTCACACCCACACGTACCTAATGGCATTCTAACCAAGACCCCAAATCTAGTCGGGGCATTGTCAATTGGTGCACCACCCCGTCTCATTCCATCTGTGAACAGATCTGCTACCCCACCCCGTGGACCTAGACTTGGTGGGGCAGGAGACTTAACCCTTTTTGCCACACATAAAGACAGCGAGTCCAGATAGTAGTAGGTAAAGCTTGAGGAGCTTCCTGAACTGTGGAAGAAATAGCTCCTCACGTGGCAAGGTTCTGCAGGATACTCGAAAAGAGCTTAGCTTCAATGACCATACACAAGTGTTGAAACAATTTGGGGAGAGAGCATACTTCCCAGGGCTGTTTGATATATTTATCCACTGTGGTTATGTTGGTGCAATTAAGGTACTCTCTTGCTGTGCCCTGATTTTTATGTAGGGGTTTTCTTTACAAGAGGCCTGTGGATGTTCTAAGACTATTCATTACTGCTAATAATATGAAGACAGATTGTGTTGAGTGATGGATCAAAAATTGTGAACCTGTTTGTCCTGGTGAACTCAAGAGAAATCCTACTGTAGAGTTATGGTCCTCAGCTTTGCTTTTAAAGAAGGAGAAATTGGACTCTGTCTGAAGTAGTCAAGTACTTCATTGTCTGATTCAGCACTGTTGGGAAATGTATGAATTAAAGGAAACACACGGTCCACTATCTGTTTTAAATAATCAAGTCATCCATTAGGTAACTTCCGTGAACATCAGAATGAACTTCTTAAGATTTATTTTATTCTTTAAAAAAGTTATTATGAACTGTACATCTTGTTGGATAATATTTTAAAATTTAAAGGGAAAGAACTGTCTCCCATTCATTAGTCTGACTCTACCGAAGAGCTGGGCTAGAATATAGTAGAATAGTGACATTTCTTTTGTAATAATTATTGTTAACATTAATTACCTTCCATAATAAATATATTCACTGTTTATGTTATAATGTCATGTTTCAGTTCTCACCAAATGCACTCAGTTGTTTAAATGAGTCAGTGATGATTATTGTCCAGCCAAGCACTACTATTGCTCAAAAATACTGATTATGTACTGAGGATGTGTCAAAGGCAGCCTCTACAGTTCAGAGAATTGAACATCTTCATACTTTGGGAGAGAGAGGGTGTGTGTTTGTTATTTCTGTTTTCCATAGTTCAACAACCATCATCCGAACTCAGTGGCACTAAGCATCTGTCAACTGGACCCAAGGAGTGCACGTCCCGTACTTGCAGCTAAACAATATGATTAGAAAGACTCTTGTCCAAAGATATGGGACATTCTGGATTAATTATTTGAGTAAAACAGTTTTATACATTTTAAATATGTTCCCTCTCCCCCTTGAAAAGAAAGCCACAAAGATTAATTATTAAACAAATGGTTGGTTATTTACATGTGTCTTAGTGTATTGATTTAATAATGTTGTTCCTATGTCTTCATAGAAGCATAATGCTTAATATAGATCTGCACCAGACATTCTTACACATAATTGTCACCTTAAGTAGTCAGAGAATCTAACATTCTTAACTAAATATCTAAACTAATTAAACTAAGCTTAAAATTTATAAAAACTTATCATGTCAATAACTTAGTATTGTTGACACCCAGACAGTAAAATATAATCTTTAAAAAAATTATTTCAGGAACCAAATATGTTCTCTTACATGCCAGTTTAGCTTTAAATGTATAATTACTGAAGAAATATAACATTACTGTGATTTTTTGTAATAAATGCAGAGATGTGTGTGTGCAGTAGAGGCTGCAGTGAGAGAAGCGCGCGCTGAAGCACGTCTCGCGAGATGTCTGCTCGCTCCGCAACTTGGTCAGCAGTCGTTCGTTCCTCCATTTCGCTGCGTCGAAAGTCTCCTCCCCGCTACCGCTAGATTCAGCGATCCCGGACCCAGTCTCACTCGGACCGTTCTACAACTTGATCCTACGAACCTGCCAGTACCTCACTGGGTACCGAGAGACAGATTGGGAGAATCTCTACACGGATTGAGAACGATTTGATGCGGATGGCGACTCCTTCAGCGAGAATTTAGTAAAAGAAAAGTGCTCGGAAATTTCAGGTAGGTGGGAACTTAAGATGGCGGCGTTGAGAGGAGGGGGGAAGCTGGGGAGGAAGTGATGGGAGGGGGAGGAGGGAAAGGGGGTCACTGGGGGGGATTGTGTCATGGCGGGACAAGTTGACTTTCATGTAGACGAGTGATTGAAGTATTAGATTTGTATGGGTACAGTGCGGCCTTTCTTGAGCTGACTCGGTTAGATCAACTGCACAGTTCACAATTGATCATACTAACGTTAAGGTGTTAATTACTTTTAATGCAGATTGTATAAAACATTAGCGAGTCGAATTGTGTTCCGGCTTCCTTTGTGCTGCACACTTTTGATCAGCTGGAAACGAAACTGCAGTTTGCTACTGAGGCTGCTAACGTTACAACAACGAAGTTGCATATTGTGCGTTACTTTGGTCTAGTGTACTTAACGTAACTTTTAAAAAGAGTTTTGAAATCATCCGTTAATTTGACATTCAAGTCATGAAAATGCAGATAGTCTGGTATATGATAAAACATGACATTATACATGTTGACTGTTGTGATAGAAATTCCAACTCATTTCTGCGACTCGATTCTTTTGAACAAAGAACCGGTTCGGAAACTGGTTCAGTGATTCTTTGTCTCAGTTCGGCGTTTTGTATTATTTAACGTTACACAAAATAAACTACCCTGTGTTCAAGTAGGCTACATGCCCCCTTACTTGTCTATTACGCAATTTAACATCGTCAAATCACTTTGGATGCGTTAAATATTACAGCTATAACGTTATAAATGTGTGTGTGTGCTAACGTTATTAAATAAAAGTTAGACAATTTAATGTGCTTATTGCTTGAATTGTAAAACAATTGCGTGGTCGTGTTTTTATAACTAAATTTCCGTAACATTTCCGCTAACTTTCGTTTTGAAAAGATCCGACTCGACAGAACGAGTTGTCCACGAGTCAGGAATCGCCACTTGACTGGCATTTTTGTCTAGCGTGACCCCGCGCAGTGACGTCAAGAGGTCGTTCCTGTAAATGGGTGTATAAGAAAATGTCCAGTAACACATGTATGTTTAGTGACAAGCCTTTTAAACTCCGCGATATTAATTTCGATGAATTGCCGTTTGTTCCCTGTCGTTGCATAACTTCTCATGGAAGTCGAAGTGTGCACGCGCGCTCCTTGCCCGTTCAGTTCAGCCCTTTGAGAGCTTGAGACGGTGTGTGTGTATATATATCTGAATGCGTTTGTCTGAGTCAGTTAATGAAATAATAACAATGTCTCACCTACTATTACAAAAAAAAAATCACAGACTGTAGCGCCCTGCCATTTAAATACCAACCATATAAATTAAACGTTACCATGTCGGCTCTATTGTAAGGTCTATGAGCTGTTAGCATTGCTAGCCTGCTAAAGGCCCATGTGAGCGCGTCCGCTTCGTGCATACATACCTACCGGCTGCATTCGTTATTTGTGTTCGGTATTGTTAACACTATTATTGTCTTTATGAGTGTATAAACAGCCTTAACTTTAGAAGAATAAATCCGAATCGGCGGCAGATTGTCGCTAAAGGCTAGCTTATCGTAAGGCACCCGCACTATTGTACTGAATGTGAGAATGTTTGTCCGGCTATACAACAGTTTCTCTTTTTAACACAAAAGTGATTGTGTTTATAACATGTGAACTGTTAATGTTCCTATTTAAAATCACAGTACCTTCCTTAATTTACTATGTGTTTGGTGTAAGCCGACTATATGAAGGAAGTAATATCAGTTTTATATACTTATTCATTTTCTCCAATAGTAAACATGAACGCTGTCAGTAACACTTCATTCAGCCAGTGAGAAAAACTAGTTTTACCTGTGTTTTCTCAGAATTATTAATCTGCACTTGGATTGTAAGTACGCATCACGTCGAGCAGATGGGTTTTGAGTAAATTACATAATCCTGCTGCAGTTTAATAATCAATACTTTGCATTATAATAACATCACTCTCCTCATACCCCTTCATGGAGAAATGTCTTTTGGATTGCATATATGTTAGTACAAATAGAAGATATAATTTATGAAATTCATTCAGTGTTTATTGTTAGACCCTCAGATGCAGCAGTACACTTGATCTCAGCATCCTGGAAGTGGAAATCACGGAAGAGACTGGTGCTTCATCACATACAGGTATTTATTCATTTATTAGGTCATTACCTTTAAGTTTTATACAGGCTTTCTCAGAATCTGCAGTCGTGTATTTATGAAGAAATGGAGCGTCTGTCACTTATAAAATTATTTAAATGTTTCAGCCATAGCTTTTTATTTCTTAAATATTAAAGCATTTTTCCAAATGGTTTAAGATTATAATTAAAGTGCCGTTTCTGTTTGCTGTTTAAATACATTCATGAGAAGTTTATAAGCAATTATCTTGCACTTTATAAAGGGTTAATCATGTCATGTGTCACTTCTGTACTTTCAGGTTCAGTGTGTAGCAGAGCCGGTTCTGAAGCAGGGCAGTCTGGGGAAAAGGCGGTGCAGCAGCGCACCTGTCCGGCAGAGGCTGTGCTGGGTGGCACCTCCGCGGCTGCGCAGAATGTGGCCGGGCCACCCCAGCATGCCCTGCAGCCAGTCGCAGCTGCCACTCTATCACTGTCATCAGTTGACATCGGCACTGGATTACAGCAGCAGAAGGGGGACTCAAAGACTGCATTTAAAGAACAGGCCATTGCTCACATTCAACAAAACAGCGGCATCAACAATTCAGAGAAGCTATCAGCTGCCCAAAGAGGACTGGTGTCAGCTACAGCTGAAGACTTACAAAAGCTTACTCCATCAGACAGACTTTTTGAGAGCAGTACTGATCTTACGCAAAAACAAGGCTTGCTTTTTGTGTGTAACACAAACAAAACAAGGCTTGGAAACAGGCAAACCGCTATGGCGGAAGGATCCAGCACAGACCACTGCCAAGATTGGAGCCAACACCATGGAGATACGGGCGGTGTCTCTGCCCCTTTTCAGACCGCAAAGGAACCTTTGCCTCCAGAGACAATCAAATTGGACTACAAGAACGTGTCTGGAAAGGCCACATCTGGAGAAAGCCCCAGTGCCCCAAAAACTGAAGTCACCCCATCTGTCAAAGGTGCAGTTAAGTCAACCGATAAAGACATGGAACACCCAAAACCAACTCCCCTTTTTGAGACAAATCAGACTGCGGCCTCGTCTGTGCTGCAGAAACAAAGTACAACAAATTCAGCGACACAGCTTTGTAAATTTGACTCTAAAGAAACTATGGAAGATGTCACACGAGATCTGCTTAAAACAAGCAAAGAAGATGACATTAGTGAAACCTTGTCAGCTGGAGGAACAAAGCAAGGAATTAGTGGAAATTCTATTTGCTCAGGATATTCATCAAAACAAGGGGGGCAGCACATTACTCCCAACAGAGGAAATAACACTCCAAATGACTCGGATAAGGGCAGCTGTTATCTCACAGAGAACTGTAGTCAAACACAAACGTCTACGCAAAAGACAAGCACCCTTCCAAAAACACCTGGCATCCCCACCTTGGTCGAGAACATACAGTGTGTGCAAGAGCTAAGTTCTCAGTACCTACATATAAACCCCAAAATGGTTACTTTGTCTAAAGAGACCAGTACAAGGGGAGATCTGTACTGTAATGTGGCTGCTAAGGAAGTACTTTGCAATGTTTCTGTTGATGAACCAAAGTTGTCTGGGCATGGTACATGCACTGACACTGCACATGTCTCCATAATGAGTGAAAGGTCACAGGTCATGGGTTGTGGCTCTTCTGATGTGATTTTGAAGCAGAATGACAGTGCCAATCAAATTGAAATATCCATGTCCTCAAATCACCAACAGGATGGGAGCATCCTGCTCACCCATGCAGAGAACTGTGTGACTTCAGAGGGGTTAGAATCAGATCAGCCAAATCTTTCTGACTGTTTGGTTCAGCAATTACAAGAGTCCATTCCAACAGACCATAAACTCTCACAGATTCAGATTTGCCTGAACAACACACCGGATATTGTGAATGAGGAGGAGAGGCAGGAGATGAATGCAGAGGCTCTCAGTGCTGTTGAAGTGAAAGATTTGATTGATGTAGGTATTTTAATGCAGCCAGACATGGAGGATACCTGGCTGGTTGTAAGCGAGATAGACGGACAACCTGAGCATGCCGAGATGGAAGTTAGCGACGAGTCTCTGGTGCAGTGCCCTGAATCCCAGTCAACTGTTGCTGTATATGAATGCACAGTGCCCTGCTTTACATCAGCTGCCATTCACAGTGATGTTAAGCTGCTGTTAACTGACAAAGAAGAGGAACCAATGGAAACATTGACGCAAGACTTGCAAGTCCAGAGTAATCTAGGGTCTCATCCAGCTACACTCAAATCCACAAAGGAATTAACCATTATGTCCTCTGCTCAAAAAGAGGTAGCTGCAATCGTCAAACAAAATAATGATTCAAGTCCCACTCTTGCAAAAACGATGACAGGGTTAACCTCAACACTGCTGGATGTCACACTTGATTCTGTGCATGATCAGCAAGAATCTGTTGTGGTGGAAAATACCCCAGGTGTGTCATTAATTTCACTGGGCACGATTGACCCAAAGCTACTGATTTTAAAGAAGGATGACAGGCCTGCCCTTAAGCAACCTTCTTCCCTGTCTGCTAGGGTCGCAACCAAGCAGAACTCATCTATCCTGGATAGATCTCCTAGTAATGAATCGAACAAAGTTTCAGAGTGCCTTGCTAAAACTGATACAGCTGCATCCTCCAACTTAAAGGATGTTAAGTTACCTGCTGACCACCCTGTGTCTAACACTCTTTCTCAATCCTGGACTGTTTCCACTTCTAATGTACTTTCACAGAACAGTTCTGAGAAAGAAAAGTTATATCAGTCAAGTAGTTCTGGCAAGATGCTTCAAAAGGAATCCTCTGCTGACACTTCTTTATCAACTTCAGTGAAACTCCATAACTCAGAAAGCCACCTTACTCCATCTCCTGGAGGTGTCTGGGGTCCTGTGTCTGATATTGTCCCCTTGGAGAATCAGTCTTTAGATGGCAAACCACTCCAAGATTTAATGTCTTTAGGGGGCGCCCTGGTTTTGGAGCAGCAACAGTTACCGGACAAACTTTTGTCAACAGCGCAAGATTCTCAGCACACCATCCTGGAGCCCCTGGATGCTTCTGTGGAAGAAAGCAGCGACGGAGAGGCTGATAGTTCTTTAGAGGTCCAAAATGAGGACAGTAATGCTGTGACCAATCCAGCAGAGAATAAGGTAAAAAAAGAGTTATCAACTCTCATTACATCTTTACCAGAGATGTGGCAGTGATTTTAAATTGGATGTGTTTGATGGGCATGTTTAGTTACGGTGTGAGCGTCAGAGGTAGTCAGCAAAGTGTGTTCATTATTCAAATATTTTTGAGACTGTATAAAAATATCTAAACCACAGTTTGATACTAGTGCACTTCTTGGCTGTATATTGAGCCATGTGTGTTTTCCAGCGTGGGCAGAGCAGGACAGACAGACAAGACTTGTTATTGAAGGTAAGAGGTGTCAGGCATCTTCCAGATCTGATCGTTGCAAGCTGATGTGACGATCCTGTTTTTTTCAAATAGTGATTGACCGATACGTGTTTTGCAAAGGCTGATTCCTTAATTTTTTTGGTGTTTGTTCTAATAAAACACATTTAGAAAAATATGGTAAACAAATCTTACACATTACATCATCAGTGAAAGTAAAACTGCCGCTCAGTCAACTGAGGCATATTTTCTGGCTGATGCCAGAAATGGCCAGATATATGACATGCAAAATATATCGGTCTGTCACTACTTCAACTTACCAGCTTATTTTTTTTTTCTTCCCACTATAACTTAAAGGGATATTTCACCCCAAAATTATGATCTACTCACACTGAAGTGGTTTCAAGTCTTTGAGTTTCTTTATTTTGATGAACACAAAGGAAGATATTGTGAAAAAAGCAGAAAAAAGAACCATTGGCATCCAATAAGAAAGACACATTCTATGGAAGTCGATAGTTAGAGGTTTCCAGCTTTCTTCAGAACATCTTCTTTCAGGTCAGCAGAAGAAAATAAGTCAAATGGGTTTGGATCAAGTAAAGGATGAGTCAACATGACAAAATGTTCAGTTTAACAAGAAAATAGAGCTGAGTGTAAGAGTATTTTATCCAGTGTAGCATGTGTTATTTAGAAACCAGGAGAGAGGTTATACGATGTTTGCTCACCACAATGTTCTTCTAGACATTTTATGAAGCACTTTTATCTCTTCTTGGGCTCTCTGTCACTCCTTTGTTCTTAAGTCTGAGTAATAAAGTGCAGACATTCAGCCAGATACACTGTTTTATTTGTCTGCCCCAAGGTTTGCCAGTGGATTGCAGGCAAGGTTACAGCAGCCTCAACTCCTTCCACCTCCCCTGTTCCATGTTCATCTCCGTCTCCCTCATCTAGTGACTGGATTCGTTCTCATACAGGCAGAGCCTCACCTATACGCAACTCTCATGGCAAAAACATGCCCTCCACTTCCTCCCAGGGTTCCCAGTCAGAGCAGACAACCACACCAAAATCAACCCCAAAGCATACAGACTTGGCAGAACTGGCAAAGCATGTGAGAGAAAATGCATTACAGCATTTACTTTACTGAATTACATTGATTTGCTAATACAAGAGGTCAAACTTTGGTCTTTCACTTTTAACAGGAAGCAGAAATAGAACATCGGACTCTTGCACTAAAACGTGAAGGTTTTTGGTCTCTGAAACGTCTGTCTCGTATAACGGAACCAGTACGGCCTAAAGATCACTGGGATTACCTCTGTGAGGAAATGCAGTGGCTCTCCGCAGACTTTGCACAAGAAAGGCGATGGAAAAGAGGAGTTGCACGAAAGGTACGTGTTTAATTCAAGGCTGGCTATATTTCAAATATGTCATTTGAATTTGGAAATGTTGGGGTAATTAAATAGTTGTGAGTTTACCTTGTGAGTTTAAACACAGGTCTGAAAATGAGTGCAAAAATGAGTGTGGTAGTCTAGAGCATAGAAGGGGGAGAGGGAATAAAGTGCATTTTCCAGCCGCACCTAGTTAAAAACATCAACAACTTTTTCACATGCCTCGTGCGCACCATGATTCAAGTAGAACTAACCAGTCTGCTTCACACTTTGTATGGAATATACACACTTCAATAATAACAGCAGACTAATAACCTCAGACAAACACAGTGCACCCAAACACTCCAGTGCTTTTGACTTATTTTCATTAACTTGCATCGGAGCTGCATCACTGGATGTGCGTTTGTCATCCTATGAGAAAACGCTAGATGGTCGCCTAGCATTCATGCTATTTACTTCATGTCAGAATAACATCACGTAAAAATGAGTGCCGTATTGTAGCAGAAAGGAGACTGTAAATAAAAAAAATATGTCGCCAGAGTGGCTTTTTGGTTTCTTTTTTTTTTGTGCATCCCTGCCACTAGTTCCCCATCGGAAATATTTTTTTTAGCATTCACAATTTGTAATGCATTTGAATAATAATGGCTGGTTCCTTTACTTGAAAGCTCAGATTTGATTATCATAATTTTTCTGTTTAAAGAGTTTGATGTTTACTGTATCATTATTATTCACAACTTACAAATGCTGATCTACCATTAAGTTTGCTTCGATTGTTCAGCATTTACACTTTACCATTGCACACACATTTTATACATTTTATCTATCAAATTTAAGAGTCTTATTAACACTTATGTTTATTTTATTATAAAGAGCATGATATATACAACAGTTCTGTCTGGTTCTCAAATCTGATTGGCTGATAGCTGTGCGATATTCTGAAATAAAAGAACTCCTACAGCCTCTTTACCCTTTGTGTATTACTCCGCCCATATACAGCCAGCAAAAAGCAGACATCACAGATCTAAAGTTTAAAAGATGCACGCTCAACTGTTTAACTGTCAGCTTATGATTTGAATTCGGAAGAAAGTAGTTCCTCATACAAAAGGGTTTTTGAGAGTCTCCATGTTTGATTTTGTTTTTATATACACAATTATGCCGTCGAACTGTTGTATAAACGCAATATCACACTTGTAGCAGTGCGATATAGCTGTATATCGGCACTGGTGGGAGGCGTGCGTTGGCACGAGGCCGCAGGCCAAGTGCCTTAGTGCCCCCACCAGTGCCGATATACAGCCATATCGCACTGCTACGAGTATGATATTGCTCATATATTTTTTACTATTAAAACTATTTGCCTTATTAATGTTGGTAAATTAAAATAAAGTGGTTCAATAAATCCTAATATTCCTAAATGTATTGTTAAAAATATTCAATAATTATTGATATTGGATGATATGAAACATAATATTGTGATAATTCTTTTGCAATACCCCAGCCTTATTATATTTATTGTTTTGTAAACTCGCACCAAACCGCACATCAAATAAACACAGATATGTTTTTGTACTTTGCATTTGTGTGATATACCCGTGTATATAAATATATAAAGTAATTAATAATTTAGAATATTTAAGCCTTTTTAATGTAACCTGTTTGATCAGTATTATTAAAAATCTGTGAAGACTGGTTGGTTCTAGGTAGTTTGTTTAGTGTGTTCCACACATCCTCTCTCCTCAGGTTAAAATTATATCGGTTGGCCTGCTTCAGCATATAGCAGGGGTGGCCAACCCTGTTCCTGGAGAGCCACTTTCCTGCAGATTTCAGTTGCAACCCATATCAAACACACCTGCCTGTAATTATCACGTGGTGTTCAGGTCCTAATTAATTGGTTCAGGTGTGTTTGAAATGGGTAGCAACTGAAATCTGCAGGAAGGTGGCTCTCCAGGAACAGGGTTGGCCACCCCTGGCATATAGAATGACCACTGTCTGAAGCAGTAACACAAACATTTCAAATCAAAAGGGAACATAAAGAAGCCAGCTGTAATTTTGCTCCATTTTCTCAAATATTTGCAAACGGTATGGATTATTAGATTATTGACATAATTTGCACAAGCGAGTCCTTACATGATGAGTGGCAAATACTGTGATAATGGTACTAAACACAACTTTGTTTACACTTAGTATGTGCGCATTTCATGTTCTGGTTTACCTTCATGGAATGAGAAAGCAGATTACTGCCAACTGCGGAAGTGTAAAGAAACTCTCATCTCCTGTCACACAGGTGCAGAATGAACACTTTTGTTTTAGTTTGCTGCTGTCTGTTTGGTGTGTTCATTGCAGCTTTTGGTCCAAACAAGACTAAATGCAAGGTGACAACACAGTTGCTTTTAGTCGCTGCTAATTTTTTGGCTTGGTGTATCCCAGCGTTGGGTGTCTGCCATAGGAAATCAGCATATGTTCTGTTCATGTAAGCAAAGCGTGTTACCCTAGTATTAAGCATAGATAATTATGAGACCCTAACATATCAATGACTGTGTTTTTCATGAGCCACATTGTACCCGACAATGTCTACAATAGAGGTTGAAAATGACATAAAATGCTTCAAAATAGGCAACTTTTTTTCTATAAATAAAATTTTGAGATTCGAGCATTGCCTATTGTAAAAGAAACACCTCAATTAAATACTCTAAAATGTAATCTAGAGTTTCAGGACTCTCGAAATGAAAATCTCAACATGTTTTCAGGTAGTCCGAATGGTCATGCGACACCATGAGGAGTTGAGGCAGAAGGAAGAGAGAGCAAAACGTGAGGAGCAAGCCAAACTGAGAAGAGTTGCTTCTTCTATTGCCAAGGAGGTCCGTGCCTTCTGGAGCAGCGTTGAAAAGGTGCTCTTTTATAGGAATCCCTATTGCCATCTCTATGAAATCTGTTGCTATAAGAACGGTGATTCACGCTTTCATCTGATTCCTGCTTATTGCTGTACACAGGTGGTCCAATATAAACAACAGTCCAGACTGGAGGAGAAGCGGAAGAAGGCTCTAGATCTTCAGCTGGATTTCATTGTGGGTCAGACAGAGCGTTACTCAGACTTGTTAAGTCAGTCCCTGCAGGGCGCCCCTGTACAGAGTTCAGACATTGCAGCTGCCTCCAAACAGTCACAGCCTAATCCTGTTGATGAGGATGGTGAGGATTGGCATTTGGTTTATTGTCAGTGTTCAGATAAAGTTACTGTAATAAAATTGAACTGAAAATCTGAACTAGAAATGGTGTGTTTTTGATCACATTAAACAAGTCTTGTTCTTACTGAGCTTATATTGTGGCTTTTTGTCCTGCAGATAGAGACTTTGAGCCCCCTTGTGAGGAAGAGGATGACGAAGAGACTATAGAAGTTGAGGAGCAACAAGAGGGGAATGATGCAGAAACACAGAAGCGAGAGATTGAGTTACTGAGGGAGGAGAGCACACTGCCTCTTGACCAGCTACTCAGTACTTTAACTCTTCCCCAGGTATAGCCATCTTCAAGGGTCAACTCCATCACAGCAGTCATATGCTTTGTTTTCAGCATTATTGTTTGGGTAGCCTTGTTACACAGTCTCTGATTAAAGCGATCTATCACTTTATTTTTTTTAGTTCACATATATTAAATATTTTTCTAATTCAACAGGATGTTGAATCAGAGGAGGAGGAGTCCGATACCTCATCTTTAACAGTTGAAGATGAAGACAAAGAATTCAGTGCCAATGAAGAAGATGGTTAGTAGCGTTTTACTCTTAACTTGAGAGTTGTATTAATATAAATAGAAATATGCCGCTTAAGTTGCTCTTTGCTTCTCTTCAGCGGAAGATGAAGAAGAAACCATTGAAGCCCAGGAAGTTATTGAAGGCGAGGGAGACCATACAGAGGAACTGGATGACCTTGCTAGAGAGGGTAAATTAAGTTCTGTTTTGTTTAATGAAAGTAGAACAGCTGAAAAGTGTGGGATTTGAGAGATATCTTTCTATTTCTAAAGATGTTAGCTGACCAAACTATAAGTTTAATCATTAATTTTTGTAACTCCTTTTAGAAAATCCTTCATTCTTTAAAGTCAAACTAACTGTGAACCTTTGAAAAAGTGTAACGCAGAGTTTAATTATGAGTTTAGGAGTACTCACCTGTGTTTCTTATTTCACAGGGGAGATGAGCATGGAAGAGCTCCTAGAGAAATACAGAGGAGCGTATGCCTCTGATTTTGAGGAGCCTTCAGCATCAGCAGACTCCTCAGAGGAGTCAGAAGGAACTGAAGTGGAAGCAGAGGAAGAGACAGAGGGAGAAGACAGTGCTGATGATAGTGGCTCCTCATCAGGTGAGCTAAAATGTATGATGAGGGAGCCACGTGCTCTGATTAGTTGTGGTATTAAGTAAATAAAGACAGCATATCATCCGCTTTTCCCACTACGATCCATGGGATTTTCAGATTCTCAAGCAGCTGTAGATACTGAGGAAGAAGATGAGCATGAGGATGTGCAGGAGAGTGATGATGAGGATGATGGAGGAGAAGGAATGGAGGTTTTGCTAAGAGAGGGTGATCAGAGTCCTTCTGTACCAACATCTCCTCGGCCTAAGAAAGAAATCAGCCATATTGCTGCTACTGCTGAAAGCCTTCAACCTAAAGGATATACACTGGCAACAACAAAGGTAGCTCTCCAAGTCCTCAGGATCCAAAGAACACTTTCTCAGTTGGATTATTGTTAACTGTATTTGCTTGATTTTCTTTTTAAAACAAGGTCAAAACACCTATTCCGTTCCTGCTTCATGGTACCTTGCGTGAGTACCAGCACATTGGACTGGACTGGTTGGTCACTATGAATGAGAAGAAACTCAATGGCATACTTGCAGATGAAATGGGGCTTGGCAAAACCATTCAGACTATTGCTCTGTTAGCTCATCTAGCATGTGTAAAGGGTAAAAAGTGCACATAATACTTTATAATCTGTGTTGAGCTCAAAGTGGATGTACACCTTTTTATGACAGGCTTGCTTTTATAGGTAACTGGGGTCCACATCTGATCATTGTGCCAACTAGTGTAATGCTCAATTGGGAGATGGAATTGAAGCGCTGGTGCCCAGGATTCAAAATCCTCACCTATTATGGCAGCCAGAAGGAGCGCAAGCTGAAGAGACAAGTAATTATTACAATAATGAGAATATAAATACAACATGAATTACAAAATAAAATGAACTCTGTGTTTTAATGTAGTTTTTCAGTCATCTTGATTTTAGATTTTTTTCATTTTTCCTTTCTTGTCAGGGCTGGACCAAACCCAATGCTTTCCATGTGTGCATCACCTCATATAAGCTAGTACTGCAAGATCATCAGGCTTTTAGACGCAAGTCTTGGAGGTACCTCATTTTGGATGAAGCCCAGAACATCAAGAACTTTAAGTCCCAGCGCTGGCAAAGCCTGCTCAATTTTAACAGGTACTTGAATACAACAATATCTGTTAAGGGCTTGATCATTTATTAACAGTGGCCTGTTGAACAAAACTCAGAGCCAAATGGCACACTATGCACTTACACACTCATCAGCATAGTATATGAATGTAGCGTTGTCCCAAATGGAACACTACTGTTTTTTTACTGAGCGGAAATTCCCTGATGATGGTTAGAACAATCGCCTCACAGCAAGAAGGTTGCTGGTTCGAGCCCTTGCTGGATCAGTTGGTATTTCTGTGTGGAATTTGCATGTTCTTCCCGCGTTCACATGGGTTTCCTCCAGGTGCTTCGATTTCCCCCATAAGTCTAAAGACATGTGGTACAGGTGAATTGGGCTCTGGTGACCCCAGAATAATTAAGGGACGAAGCCAAAAACAAAATGAATGAATGAATGTTTGATTGACGGTTGGCAACTCAGTACCTAATAATACCTGTTTTTATTGTAAATGCACTACTTGCACTATTTATACTACTAAATGGCATAGAATAGTACATAAATATGTGATTTGGGATGCATAAGTTTTGAATCACCAAATTAGAATGATGATATTAGAATTATATGGATAGATGTATAGGGTTTGAGATTGGCTTCATTGCATCAGATACAAATGACTTAACGCACAGCTAATTGTCTCAGTTTAGGATTGCACTCTAACCCAGAATAAAATCTGCTCAGGAGAAAGTTGTGATGTGCAAGTTATTGTGTTGACGAACCCTGATCAAAACCAACCCAACTTCTTGAGCCTAAAAACTCAGAATTTGTTGAAATCAACTGCAAATTTACAAACAGGCCTCTGGTCCTTTTCATACTTTTTTGTTTTATGTGCAAAACCCATTTAATGAGATGTAATGTTTGTTTATTTCCTTACAGTCAAAGGCGGTTGTTGCTCACAGGAACCCCTCTCCAGAACAGCCTAATGGAGCTGTGGTCTCTTATGCACTTCCTCATGCCACATGTGTTCCAGTCTCATCGTGAGTTTAAGGAGTGGTTCTCAAACCCGCTCACTGGCATGATTGAAGGGAGCCAGGAGTATAACGAGGGCTTGGTCAAACGACTTCACAAGGTAGAGCCTCATTTATTTTGGTTATGGGTAAAATAAATAAATAATTTTAGTTTAACTGTGGTGTTTGAAGTTATATATTAAAACATTCAGCTGTACATAAGCTTGCTGTATCTCTGTGTCGTTCTAGGTACTAAGACCTTTTTTGCTGCGAAGAATTAAAGCAGATGTGGAGAAACAAATGCCTAAAAAATATGAGCATGTTGTGCGCTGTCGACTCTCCAAAAGACAGCGCTTTCTTTATGATGACTTCATGGCTCAGGCCTCGTAAGTAACTAGGTCAAGCACACATTGATAGGGGTTAAAGTGAGAAAGGCATTTTTACTTTGTTGATGATGTTGTTTGTTGAACTTAAAAGCTCAAGTCTTGGATAGTTGATTGGTTCTTTTTTTGTTAGGACGTCACATAATACTTTCTACCTAATTATTAAACTTTTTCTTTGTTCCCCACACCATATACTCCTAGGACACGAGAGACTTTAGCCAGCGGTCATTTCATGTCTGTGATCAACATCCTGATGCAGCTGCGGAAAGTGTGTAATCACCCCAACCTGTTTGATCCAAGGCCCATACAGTCTCCTTTTATCACAAAGGACATCATCTATTCTACTGCATCACTGGTTCAGCAGGCTCTTGAGACCTCACCTTTTGAGGTAAGTAAATACCAGCAATTACCAAAGCTTTACTTTTGCTTCTGTAGTTCAGTCAGGGGTGTCCGTTCTTGGTCTTGAAAAGCCAGTTTCCTGCTGAACATTTGTTGGGTTGTCTAGAGCCAAAGTTGAAATATTCAAGTGTACTTAATCCCACAATTCACCATGATTCTATGATCACTGTTTTTCTGATGTACAGTCAGTGGCAAAACCAGTGCATTATAAACATTGCGTTAAATGAATTGCTAAATAAAAAAAATTTAAAAATCTGCAGCACTCAAAATTTGCAGTTGGTTTTATGAGATCTTAATGAACTTATAAGTGGAGTAAAGTTAGGAGCATGTGGGAAGTTGTTGAGTCTTTGTTTAGCTGGTTCAGTTGTGTTAAATTAGAGATGAGTAAAGCTCTCTAGTGGGGTCGCCCAAAAATAAACCAATATGCTTGTTTGGTCTAGGCATAGGGATTTATTCATTCGTTTTCCTTACTCCCTTTATTTATTAGAGGTTGCCAACTTATCCTTCATATGTTTTACACAGCGGATGCCCTTCAATGCTGCAATGCAGTACTGGGAAACACCCATACACACTCATTCACAAACATGCACTATGGCCAATTTAGTTTTATTCAATTCACCTGTACCACATGTCTTTGGACTGGGGGAAACCGGAGCACCCGGAACCACGTGAGCTAGGGGAGAACATGCAAATGCCACACAGAAATGCCAGCTGACCCAACCAGAGCCGAACCAGCGACCTTCTTGCTGTGAGGGGATTGTGCTACCCACTGTGCCACCGTGTCACCCCTAGGCATAGGGATATTCAAAAAATTACAGTGTTTTGCTGAAATGACTTCAAATAATGTTTCTATTTGGCTTCATTTGGGACTTCTTGTTATTTACCTTCTGATTTCCATCATTTCCTTGTGCGAATTACAGTGACATATATTCCTGTCAATACAGTAGACCTGTTAGACCAATGTATACCTAGGGATGCACCGAAATGAAAATTCTTGGCCAAAAGTGAAAATGTGGAAACCAAGGCCGAAAACCAAAACACCAAAATAAATAATGGCAGTTATTAGTACCATTGCATTTATGGCTATGACTTTACTAAAAATAAGGCATTGCAATTAAAAAAAAAAATCAATATTAAAGTTTCAAAGAATAATTTAATTACAACTAATTCAATTATTTATTTAGCACATTTCAACAATGGGTTATCACTTTTGGGAATGGGGACTTTTTAAAGTAAAAAGTAGAAATTTTATTTTACTTAATAACGGCATCAACAATATTTACAGATTTTTATACAGTCAGTCAAATGAACTTAAGCTATAAAAAATTCCCAATCTACAAAACCAAATTTAAAACAATTTTAGTATCGGATTTGCACACTGGTTTGATCATGTATGGATATCAATATAGCGCTGCTTCTGCTCTACCTATGCGCTGCGTACATCCACATCTGTCGCAGTCTGGATTGTTTTGCATATATGCTGCAACACAGAATAAGTACAGTTGGGATGGAGTGCAGAGGATCATTACAGAGCGAAGAGTCACACTGCAAACCTGTCACATTTTACAAATATCTGTTTAGAAAATTTCCAAGGTTATATTGTTTTCTTTTTTTTTATTGGGCGCTCACTCTTGTTTACTGTAAAATAATGTTTCTTTTAAAAGCGCTGTGACTTGTCCATGTTTGACCTGGTTGGCCTGGAGCACCGTGTGTCAAGATACCAGGCAGATGTTTTCCTGCCCCAGAGGAAAGTGACGCATCAACTTATTCAGGAAATCATGGAGTCCCCTGATCCTCCTCCCAGACCTAAGCCCGTTCGCATGAAGGTCAACAGGTATAGTGTATAACATTGTCATATAAACAGTGCGTTTTAAAATCATTTTAAGTGTATTCATATTTTTGAATCAAGTGTGAGCTTGTTCATGCTTCTCCACAGGATGCTCCAACCTCTTCCTAAGACTGATGGGCGTTCAGCAGCAAACAGCCCTCGTCCTGCATGCCCCCCCACCACCACCACGATTCAGACTCCAAAGCCTCTAATCACAGAGGTGACCACTTCCCAAGCTCCCTCCCAGCCAGCAACTCAAGGTCAGCTCACATACTGATCAGCAAGTCTTTCTCGTGTGATAGAGGAAAAGAATAACTTTCTACTCTCATTTCAGTTTGTCCTGTTACTCCTGTCACTGCATTAAGAGCCCCCCTGGCTCCTAGTACCATCCCTTCTGCACCTGCAGTCAGGCCACCAGCCCCCCAGTCAGTGACTGTACGCCCCTCTGCACCATCCACCATCACAGCTGCTCCTCCTCCTCAACCTCAGCCTCCTCAACCAAGCAGCATCATGACTCAGAGGGTCCTGCTCAGCCCAGATATGCAGGCTCGTTTGCCATGTAAGTTTATTTCCTCTTTTTCACAAAACATGCTTAGCTACGAACATGGGCTCTGTTTACTTCTTCTGTATGAAGATACATTTTTAGTTCTATCACAATTTTACATTAGGAATAAATGTTAAAGTTTAAAACGTTCTAGTATGTATGTTTTCAAACATTTTCAGAGTTATAAAGGACGCATTTCAACATGTTGCTTGAGTACAAATTGCAAAAAGCTAGTTGTTGGAACATCACATCAAAAAAAGATATTCATTCTTTACTAAGCTGCACTGAAATACACAGGTTATGATCAATACTGTAGTCTGTCTGTGGTCCACATCATTTTCCTTCAGTTACTTCTATATTAAGCACTACTTTATGCATTGTGTGGAGCATTTTGTGAAAATTAAATAAAACACAATTAAATGAGCATTTAAGGGTCTTGAGGGATAGTTCACACAAACCGTAGAGTTGCTGAAGTTTGGCCTGCACGCTTGCGGTTTTTAAGAAACTTTTTTGGTGCGTCAATTTTGTGGTATTATTCAAAAAGGTAATGATTCGCACTCATCAAGTAATTGCTTTGTACTGTTTTTATTTATTTTTTCTTACATTCTTCGGGTGATTTAAAGACACAAACGTTTTGGCACTATGCTTTCCTCAGTGCCCGAAGAATGTAAGAAGAAAAAAATAAAAACAGTACGAAGTAATTACTTGATGAGTTCGAATCATTACCTTTTTGAATATTAGTTCACACAAAAAAAACTTGTCATCATTTAATTACTCTTTACTTATTTCAACTTTCAGTTTCTTGTTAAAAACAAAGATATTTTAAAAAAATTTTTATATAGTTTATTAACAAAAGTGGATTACACATTACTCAGTTTTTCCATAATATAATTATGATTCTATAATATAAAATATAATATTTTAAAGAACTGTAATTGAAAGCATACACTTATTAGCTACTTTATTAGGTACACCTGTCCAGCTGCTCATAAACACAAATTTCTCATCAGCCAAATTATCACCTGGCAGCATTTCAATGCATTTAGGCATGTAGACATGGTCAAGACCATCTGCTGCAGTTCCAACCGAGCATCAGAACCGGGAAGAATAGGGATTAAAGTGACTTTGATTGTGGCATTGTTGTTGGTTTGAGTATATCAACATGTTGAACTTTGAGGTGGATGGGCTACAGCAACAGAAGACCACACTGGGTGCCACTCCTGTCACAGGAACAGGAATGAAGAACAGGAAACTGAGGCTACAATATGCACAGGTTCACCAAAATTGGACAACATAAGATTGGAAAAATGTTGCCTGGTCTGATGAGTCTCGATTTCTGCTGCGACATACGGATGGTAGGGTCAGAATTTGGTGTCAACAACATGAAAGCATGGATCCATCCTACCTTGTATCAGCGGTTCAAGCTGGTGCAGGTGGTGTATTGGTTTGGGGGATATTTATTAGCACACTTTGGGCCCATGAGTACCAATTGAGCATCATGTCAAAGCCAAGGCCTACCTGAGTATTGTTGCTGACCATGTCCATCCTTTTATGAACACAGTGTACCCATCTTCTGATGGCTACTTCTAGCAGGATAACACACCATGTCATAAAGCGCAAATCATCTCAGACTGGTTTCTTGAACATGACAATGAGTTCACTGTACTTAAATGGCCTCCACAAACACCAGACTCAATGCAATAGAGCACCTTTGGGATGAGGTGCAACAGGACTACTTTTTGCATCGTGGTTGAGCAGCCGACAAATCTGCATCATGTCAATATGGAGCAAAATCTCTGAGGAATATTTCCAAATCTTTGCCACGAAAGATTAAGACGGTTCCGAAGGCAAAAGGGAGGGGGGTGGGGGGTCCAGGACAATACTAGTATGGTGTACCTAATAAAGTAGCCGGTGAGTGTATATACAAACAATCAATATACTTTTATTGCATTCTTTAAATGTTTTAATTATTTTAAATTGCATCAAATTACACCTGATAGTAATACCTGATAGTATTAATCTGCCAAAAGTTTGCTGTGGGTTGTTCTGGAGCAGAGAGGTGACAATTTGTCTTTGCTTATCAAACCAGGCATATAGGTCTACTGTATGTTGTTTATAACGAAAATGTTATTATACTGTAATTAACTGTACTCAATGCTACTTATTTTCACATCTTTTTTCTTATAATATGATCAAGAACTTTGACAACTTCAATGTGATTTATGTTCTTTCTTTATAAACAATTTTTGATTGAAGAGTAGCAGAATTGTAATCATGTTTTGAATAAGAGACCACTTTGACCGTTTGTTAAATTGTGTTTAATTAATGGTGTTATTTTGAGTTTTTGAATTGAAATTGGTACCAAGAACAATGTTTTTTCATTGGTATTGGTACCTAATACTGAAATTTTGGCATTGACAACCTCAGTGGTTACAGGCTTTCAGCTTACTTCAAATAAAAGTGTGCAACAAAAACTCATAAGGGTTTGGAGTCACTTGAGGGTGAATAAATGAACGCCTTTGGATGAACTATTACTGTAATGTAATCTATACACAAGTAATCACGAATGCTAAGTGGGGAAATGGTATTATGTTTCATCTCACTTGGGATTGGATTTTCCTTTAACATGTTAACACCAGGGGCGATGCAGTGGCAACGTTTCCCAGAGATGGGTTGCGGCTGGAAGGGAATCCGCTGCATAAAAACGTGCTGGATAAGTTGGCGGTTCATTCCGCTGTGGCGACCCCGGATTAATAAAGAGACTAAGCTGACAAGAAAATGAATGAATGAATGAATGTTAACAACAAGTGTAAATTAAGAGTAGTTTATCTCAAATCAAGTTAATCAATAAATAATTTCCATTGTTCTCTTACATGTGCAGCTGGTGAAGTGGTGAGTATTGCCCAGCTGGCCTCCCTGGCTGGCCGACCGGTATCATCCTCTCAAGGCAGTAAACCAGTCACCTTTCAGCTACAGGGCAACAAGCTCACACTCTCTGGGACGCCGCTGCACCAGGTTCCTGTCCCTCAGCCACGGCCCATTCAAGGTATCCACGTTCCACATAAATAACCGAATAACCTGCTTATGGTAATAATCCACTGCCTGCTGTAAGGATAGGTTTCGCTTTTCCTGCACGCCTTCAGTCTTTCTCTGAGCGTTTGGTGTAGTCTCTGGGCTAACACTTTCTTCTGTGGTTGTGCCTTTTAGGAAATGTAATGCATCTGGTTTCCAGTAGTGGGCAGCACCACCTTATTAGTCAGCCAGCTCAGGTGGCAGTTCTTCACACAGTTAGTCAGTCAGTTAGCAGCTCAGCAAATCCCCACCCAGCCAGCACAACCCCAACCTGCTCTGGACTAGCAGTACCTTTCACCACTGCTCAAGGTACTGGTGCTGTCCTTGAGTTCATCCTTGTTCGGGTACAGCCTGTATGCTGGGTACCAATCTACCTGTTTCTCAACAGTGCATGTGCATGAGTGTTCTGGCATTGATTCTTTTTTCTAACTGCATGTAACAGCTTAATCAGATGGTTTGATGACTGCTAACTCAATGAATAGGTCTTCTTGAACAAGGGTATTCATTCAATAATAGATAAACGCAAACAACAATATAGATGTTAAATTGTAGAGGTTTGAAATTCTTTCGTTGGTCCATTCTCGTTTTGTTTACATCTTTGTTTTGCAAAATAAATGGAATCTGCTTGTTTAGTATGGAGTACTGTTTTCAGGTCCAAGTTGTATATGAGTCCAATGCTCATTTGAATTGAAAAAATATTTGTTTATGACCACTTTTTAGTCACATCACAGGGTGAAGTGAATTTTATATAAAATCATGATGTACTCAACAGACTCTGGGCTTGCTGCATCACAGACACCAATATTTTAACAATTTATTAAAAATTTAATCATTTTCTGGCCATCAGATATTAGGCATGGAGATATATATATATATATATATATATATATATATATATATATATATATATATAAAAATATATTGCGATCGTGATTTTCAAAAGAATTACATTGCTTTGCAAACGTTTATTATTACCATTTGTTGACTCTCCCCATACAGTTTGATAGAGCGCTTTGCGTGACATCACACTTAACAAGCAGATTAGCTGTTCTCATTATCTGTTGTTTTCTGTTTCATTATGTCCTTTGTACAGTGTTTGCAGGTTTAGTTTGTGAACTTTTAATTATCGTTTTTTTTTTCTTTTTAGTTAACACAAAAAAAACACCATTCAGAAGTGTGGGGTCAGTAATTTTTTCAGATGACTTTTATCAACTCTTGTATTTTTTATTTTTATTTTTTATTCATGGTTTCAGTGAAATCCTATCTTTTGCCCTTTCAGATGGTCAAAATAAAATATTAGGCTGCGCAACCATTTTTAGCATTGATGGAGCATAAAAAAACGTTGAGAATATTAGCATGATTTCAGGTGACTTTAAACCATAGGTCTCAAACTCGATTCCTGGAGGACCGCAGCTCTGCACAGTTTTGCTCCAACCCTAATCAAACACAGCTGATCAAACTAATCAAGGTGTTCAAGACTACTAGAGACTAATAAGCAGCTGAGAGTTGGAAGTGGTGCTAAATTATGCAGAGCTGCAGCCTTCCAGGAATTAAGTTGGAGACCATTGTTTTAAACACTGGAGTGATGCAGAAATTCAGTTACATTTGAAAATATATTAACAAAGATTTTTTTTAAGTTGCAAAATTATGTTAAAATATCACTGAATAAATTCTGGAAAAAAATGTAAAGAAGAAAAATTTTATTGACCCCAAACAATTGAACAGTATTACATTCCATAATGCCAGACAAAGTTATGCTACTGTCATCGATAGGCCAGTGCCCGATCTAATTTAAGTCAGCCAAAATATGTGTGCAGTTACTAAACCCTCTCTTTTTTACTTCTAGTCGCAACATCCATGGTAGGTGGACCTGGAATTGTAAAGATTGTTGTACGCCAGGCACCAAGTAAAGAAGGCGGGTCAATCCCTACCCTGGCTGTGCCTCCTTCTCCTCGTCCTGCTCCTCCTCAATCGGTCACACTTCATCCACATGGCTCTCCAAGCCCTGTTCTTAGAGCGCCCACTGCTTCACAGCTTCCACAACGGCCTCCGGTTTATGCTGCTCCGCCCAGAACTGTTGCTTCCTCCCAGACCCCACCAGCTCGCCCTGTGTTGAGAGTACTACAAGGACCACCACCACCACCAGCCCCAGAACCACCAGGTACGTTTATCCATAATATAATTTTTTTCTGATAAATTTTAAAGGGATATTCACCCAAAACTGAACATTCTGCCATCATATACTCAACCTTCACTTACAATTCTATCTGACTTTCTTTATTATGTTACACAAGGCATTTTTTTAGGAAAGCTGGAAACCTCTAAACATTAACTTTCATAGTATTTGTTTTACCTGCTATGATGTCAATGGTTACAGGTTTCCCGCTTTCTTCAAAACATATTTTATTGTCAAACAGAATAAAGCACTTCAAAGGTTAGAACCACTTGAGGGAGAGTAAATGGTAATATTTTTTTCAATATTGGGTTGAACTATCCCTTTAAACCAAAAGAATATTAAGTTTTTTTTTTATCTAGGCAAGTATTTATCTTTGAAATATTTCTACTTTTCAGTAACAAAGGCAAATACCCCATGTGAGGACAGTAATGAAGTGATTACTTTGCGAATGAGCACTCCTAAACCTACATCCTCATCACAGAGCAGTAGTTCAGCATCTCACCGTCCCCGCATTCAGCCGCCAGCTCCACCACGTTCCCCCTTCTACATGGTATTGATCTTGAAATTTATAATTTTAGTAATTTCAATTTTAGGTCTTGCAGAAGAATATTCCATACATGCATTCTTCTCTGTCTGTAGCATTTATCTACTTGTTATTTTGTTTCCGACAGTCCTGGCTTGCAGACACCCGGAAGGCTCAACGAGATGACCGAATTTCTCAAATCATGCGCATCAATGAGCTGCACTGCACTGCTAAGCCTGTGTATGGCCGTGAGGTGCTGGACTTTTTAACCTTCCTCCCAGGCCCTTGTCCATCTCCAGCACGTCCGGTTGTAAACAACTGGAGTTACTCTGGTTATAGCTCCTGTCTGATTGCTCAGTCACAACATACCAGCAACATTCTAGAAAGGAATACATTTTTGAGGGAAGAGATTCATAACTCAGAGGAGAGGCTTCGGCTTCTCTCTGATGTCATAGACAGGTATGTGTTAGTTAATTTATAAAAATTAAAATTTAAAAAATTATGTGCATATTAACACCATGGTAAAAATGTGCCACTTTTCCACAGGTTCGTTTTTGTTATTCCTCCAGTGGAGGCAAGACCTGTCACCATGCACAGCTGCCACCCACCACCCTCCCTCAGACACCAGCAAGCTGTTTTCTCCTCTGATCTATCCTCTTATGTCTCTCCACTTACACACACACTCCATCGAATCCAGAGCAACATGAGGACATACTTCCCTGACTTGAGGCTTATTCAGTATGACTCTGGTATGTACTGTGTTTTGTATAATATACAAAACAAAATAACTATGAGACAATGAATATTTTATAACTGTTTAGGTAAGCTGCAGACACTCCACCTCCTGCTTAGAAGGTTGAAAGCAGAAGGGCACAGAGTCCTCATATTTACTCAGATGACACGTATGCTAGATGTACTTGAGCAGTTCTTGAACTACCATGGACACATCTATCTGAGGTTGGATGGAAGTACACGAGTGGAACAGAGACAGGTGAAATACTAGTTCTAGTACTTTGGTAGTGTTTGCGATTGAACCCATTTTTCACAACATCTCTTGATTTAAGCAATCGGAACAAAGTATGTTTGACTTTATTTGAACGTTTGTCTAACTTTCAGGCTCTGATGGACCGCTTCAATGCAGACCGTCGAATTTTTTGCTTCATCCTTTCCACCCGCAGTGGAGGTGTAGGTGTTAACCTGACTGGGGCAGATACTGTTGTGTTCTATGACAGTGATTGGAACCCAACCATGGATGCCCAAGCTCAGGACCGGTGCCACAGAATTGGACAGACGAGAGATGTCCACATCTATAGGTAAAGACTAAACCTTTATATAAAAATAAATGATTAACATGGCACATATTATTGCAGCACATTTAACATCTAACATTTTTATTTAGACTGATCAGCGAACGCACAGTGGAAGAAAATATTCTTAAAAAAGCCAATCAAAAGAGGATGCTGGGAGATATGGCTATTGAAGGCGGAAACTTTACCACTGCCTTTTTCAAGCAGGTATGATTCAATTTAAAATATTTTTTTACAGAGAAATCATAGCCTTGATTAAAATTTAGATGAATTGATGATTCAACTCTTTCTTTCCCACAGCAAACTATTAGAGAGTTGTTTGATGTGACAGAGGGAGAAAAGAAAGAAGCTGAACAGAGTGTGCCTCAGTCAGATGATGAGGAGTCCATCAATAAACAAAAAACCACCATTTTGGAACAGGTAAATTAAATGTATCTATTTGGGGTATTGAATTTGTTTTTCTTGCAAGATGTTTATAACAAATGAGATGAGATTTTATGTTTTATTTTTATTCCAGGCCCTGTGTCGTGCTGAAGATGAAGAGGACATAGTGGCTGCATCTCAAGCAAAGGCAGAGCAGGTGGCTGAGCTTGCAGAGTTTAACGAGAATATACCTCTAGATGACGGTGACAGTAGAGACCAAGAAGAGGAAGAGCTTTCCAAGGCGGAGCAGGAAATTGCTGCCCTAGTTGAACAGGTAGGTATTTAATACATATTTACTCTTTTTAATTTTAGAAAGTAGTATTATTTACAGTGGATTTATGATTTTTTTATTGTCCATCCTTTTTTTAACAGCTCACTCCCATTGAGCGTTATGCCATGAATTTTCTTGAGGCTTCCCTCGAAGATATTTGCAAAGAGGAGTTGAAGCAGGCAGAGGTAAAAGCTTAAATAAAACAGTAACCAAGCTTTGATCTTTTTTTGGGGGGTTTATTAAATTTTTTTTTACCCATTTATACCCACATCATTTCTTTGTACTTAACAGGAGCAGGTTGAGGCTGCAAGGAAAGGTTTGGACCAGGCAAAAGAAGAAGGTTTGAAATTGCATCAATCATCTGACAGTGATGAAGAGGATTCTGTACATCCCAGTACAGATGAGCCTACTCCATCCCGTCGCCCTCGCAAACACAAAGAGAAAGGTGCTCCTTCTACAAGGGTCAGTGGTAGGCTCAGAGGGACACCTGCTGACGATATATCTCTAACGCAGACATCCCCAGATAGAGGCCGGAGGACGGCATGGTTGAACTCTGAGCGCAGCATAAGCCAAACCCCTGGGTCCACACAAAAGTCTCCCCTAAACAGAGAAGTGCCTGAGAAGCTTCGCAGTGGCCCACGAGGGCGATGTACAACCAAAGAATCTGCGTCATTAGAGAACCAGACTATCCCAACCAACCAGCAGCTTATAGATTCAACAACCTTGTCCCCTGCTATGCGGGATTCATACCCAAAAATTAGTGTGCCATCCCCTCACCAACAGTCCATCTCCCCATCAAGCTCTGTGCCTTCAGCTGCTGCATCTCCCTCATTGGACAGAAACTCTTGTGGCCATCTGTCTTCCTCTACTGTTGCATGCAGAGAGGACAGTGAAGACCAAAAGGGAGAAGCACGGTCTGAAAATGTACAGAGCAGAGATCGGAGAGCCTCTGCATCATCAGACTCCATCTGTTCTCCAGAACATCACTCTGAACAGGAGTGTCAGCTCTCTCTTTCTCCCACTCTAGCATCACCTAACTCTCGCTCACCACGAAAGCGGCAGTCTGCTGAATGGGAAATTCTCAAGGGACTTCCAGAAGATTCTCCCTCAGCCAAGGTCCTTCGAAAGCTTCCAGGTCGTCTGGTCACTGTGGTGGAGGAGAAAGAGCCAAAGCGGAGACGGAGAGGTGTGAGTGGGAGTGGAGGATTGCATGAAGGTTCATCAGAGGAGCCTGAAAAGACTGAGCCAGTTCAAGACACAGTCCCTCATTCATCTGATGGATCAACTCAAACTTTTAAAGTCTCTCCTCCCAAATCTGTTCTCACATCCTTACAATCTTCCCCACCACCAACACCACGAGAGCAGGAACAGACCTCTTCGCCATTACCTTATAGTTGTATAGGTCGAGGACACAACCCCTGTTCTCCAACACATCATTCCCCAGATATGCCTGTCTTGCGGAACTTACCAGTACGCCGAAGGCTAGAAACAGAGTCCCGATTGGCTGCACAGTTAGGAGAGCAATTTTTAGGGAGAGGTAGAGGAGTGGATCGAAAATCTGCATCAACTCAGAAAAGAATAGAAACAAGCACTGACAAGGACGGTTCTGCTCCATGTGACTCCAGTCTTATGTCGAGGCGGAAAAGGGGCAGGCCACCGAAAACACCCCCAAGAGCACTGGAGTTGTCAGAAGAAAACACACCTGTAATTGAGAAAACAAGTCCTGAGCGGAGCCCCCCTCACTCACCAAAACGGAAAAGGGGACGTCCTCGTAAAGATTCCACCACAACTACAGGCTCACCCCCATCTTCACCCTCTGCTGGTGCTCCTTCATCCCAAGAGCCTAATTTGTCAAGGTCTAATGTCATGCCTGAGACTTTGCCTACTGACAGTAAAATTTCACCAATAAGCTCTCCAACACTCTGCCCCACTTCACCCTTAAATGCTGCTGAAGTGTCCTCACTTCCAAAACCAGATTCTGAAATAATTCAGACCACTACATCGGTTTTACTGTCCACATCTCCATCAGAAACTGGTGTAGACTCGCATGGTGATACTTACGCCAGTCTGAACACCATAAGTTCATGCAATGACTCTGACAACAGTACACTTGTATCTTTACCACACAGCACCTCTACAGCAGCACCATATGAAACTTGTACTGATTCTTCTCCTACACTACAGTTTACATATTCTTTCAGAGAGCCTCCAGTTACTACTGTTTCAATCTGTGCTGAGGAAATTGCCCACACGTCTGTACTTTCTGATGCCAGTGAAATCACTGCTTATTCAGAATCTTTAACTGTCTCAACGGCTGCAGTAGAAGCCGAGGAAAATTCAGTCACGGATAATCAGCAAGTAAATAATTTGCAGCCTTCAAATACATCGACTCAAGTCACTTCACAATGCGTAGATGAAACCGATCCAACTACAGACCTGCCACAAACCACTTTAGAGCCAATATACAGTGTAGCTGAATCTTCTACTCCCACTGATCAGCCATCCATCCAACCTAGTTCTCCACCTGCTTTGACTTCTGAAATTGAACCTGAAGCATCTTCATCTATATTGGAGGCACCAGAAACATCTGCTGTACAGACTGTGTCAACAGTTCAAAGATCTTTACCTCAGTCTGAGCAAATTTCTCCTCCGTCACAACTTCAAACTACAGCAATGGAAGCAGTGTCAGATTCACCATCACAGCAAATATCTTCATCATCTTTACAGTCTCTATCTGCCACTAATCCAGTAACAACAGATTCTTTGTCCACACTGAGTACAGATGCAGATTCTTCTCAATCCCAAAACATTGTGGTTGAGACCATGATTGATAATCATGAAGGCCCACATTCACCCAAGGAGAAAGTTGAAACTGAGGAGGAGGAAGTTTTAACTGAGGAAGAGGTTGTTACTGAGGAGGAGGAACAGGAGGTTGTAACAGAGACAGAGGTTGTAACAGAGACAGAGAAAATGGAAACAGACAGTGTTGGTGAGGATGATGCAGGAGAAAAAGATGACATCTTATCTCAGCCAAAAAAGAGAAGACTGGAATGTTTGCCAAAGGATCAGACACCTAGTGCCTCAGGAGTTGCCTCATCAGATATTGAGAGTCATGATGTTCAGAAAAGTGATGGTCCTGATAAGCCATTAGAAGAGGAAGAACCAGAAGACAAAGAACCCAGATCTTCTATCAGAACACGAAGCATTAGTAGACAAAGCAGCCAGGAGACAGTCCGTTCCTCTTCACCATCTTCTGTATCCTCATGTGGTACAAGATCATCTCGGTCAAAGAAGGGTGCAGAGAACAAGAACCCCGTAAAAAGGAAACGGAGTGAAATAAAGTCTGAAAAAAAGAAGTCTAAAGAGGGCTCTGACAAAAAGCACCAATCCAACTCTTCCTCCTCATCTTCAGACTCTGAGGACTCTAATAGTGTGAAAAGATGTCTGACAAGATCAGCTCAAAAGAAGTTGGAGAAAGAGGGCATGATTGCTAAAAATGATGAGAGCAGTACGAGGCAAAAAGCAAGGTCTGACAAGAAGGCTAAATCCACCAATTCCACGGAAGGGGAGTCCAGCGGTGAAGTATGTTCAAGAGTAACCCGGAAATCTACAGGCCCACAGTCAAATACTTTAGCCTCCCCAGAACCTGAGGTACTGGGCAAACGCTGCTCGGCCCTTAATGCTGCTGCCAAGCTCTTGGCAATGAGGGCGAGAGGCCCCGACACACCCAGTTCCAGCCCCAAAAATAAGACTGCTGCACATCAAAGCAAAACATTAACATCTGAAAAAGTTAGTAAACCCAAGGTTAATCCAGGACAGGACTCTCCCAAGGTTTCTAACAATAAAGCAGAGAGTGGCAAGCAACCCCTCGGTCAGTCAACTGAATCACCACAGTCCTCTTCTTCTGCTCGATCAACTCGGCAGCGACCAGGCAGCCTGGTCCCCCCCTTGGAAGTGGAAAGGGTAAAAAAGGAAGAAAAGAAAAAGCCATCTGATCAGAAGGAAGAAGGTGAAGATGAAATTAGAGAGACCAGGTCTTCGAGAGGTCATAGTGCCTGCAGTAGTATAAGCAGTGAAAGAGGAGTGGGCAGCAGCAGAAGTCGGAGTAGCAGCAACAGTAGCCAGCGCACCCACAGTCTGAGCTCACAAAGTACAGACCCCATACGCACCCGATCCAGAGCCACTTCCTCTGGTAGTGATACAGAAAGAAGCAAAAGTATTCAGAGGAAAAACGATGGAGGCCGAGGCAGGGAGAGCAGAAAAGAGAACAAGTCCCAGAAGCTTGACAAAGCTGAGCTGAGTGCTGGATCTGGTGACGGGACTCCAGACAGGGTTCTCAGGAGTGTTGCTGCACTGGCAGCTGCTCATGCACTTACTCCAGCTTGTAACACACGATCCTCAACCTCCCAAAAACGGCACTCCAAGACGTGATGGGGATTGGAGAAGTTGCATTTAGATTTAAAAATAAGTTAGATCAGAATTTCAGAGAGGAGAGAATGTCTATTTTATGGAGGAAAGGGAATCAAATTCATTAAAGGCCATGATTTGGCTGTATGAGCGAAGACAGGAAAAGAAGATCTGTTGCACATTGTGATTAGATCTAACTTCGCTTTTGCCCTCACAGCTCTGTAAAGGCAAGCCATTTATAATGTGGAAAGGGTGTGTAGATGCTGGACAATGATGAAGATTTGGTCATGTATTTAAAAATGTTCTAATAATTTGGATAATATTTTACGTTGCCACAAAGACTTTGGAACTTCAAAGTAGCTGGGCGAGAGGCAAGATTCATTGTTTGTTCACACTATGTACTGTAATCAAAGACTGAAAGACTGGAAATACTATGTGAAATATGTTAGAAGATTGGTCACATAGACTGTACACTTTTTACAGAGTTTACTAGTGCTGCAAATGGTATTGATGAGTAAGACGTTCATTAATGCTACATTGAAATGATTTAGTGGGGATTGTACAATTGTAAAGTTTTTAGACTGTTGCGTTCAGGATTATGTTTGTCAGCTGTTTTGATGATTGTTTGTTTCAAGCCAGTTGATAAATCACAAAAATACCTTTGATATCTTCCAGGGTATGAAGAAAAGGACAGGTCTAAAAAATATTTCTCTGCACTATGCTGGAGTTACTATTTGCTTAGGTCACCTGTCTTGTATAACGTTTCAGTCAATTACTTTTAAATTCTGCTGCTGCCTGCTTTTTTCACTTTTGCACATCTGAAATGTCTAAGACATTGATGAATGCATTGTGATTTAGTTTTTTTTTTCTCCTTCAAACATCAACTTGTCAGTACATCCTTACTGGTACCTCACTGCATTTTGTAAGCTCTAAAGTATGTGTATCTCTTGAGCTTGTGATGAATCTTGATATTTGCTTGTCATTTGCTTTATAGCAGTACAGAAATGGGAGACAACATCTTGCTATTTTTCTTATCTCTTTCCCAAAGTGTTAATCATTATGATCATCTTTACACATTAAGTCGTATTCTCAACAGAATCTAAATGAGTTTGACAAAATGAGAGTGCCTGTTGATCCATACAAGGATCCATGTTAACGTATAGAAGTTTGCTCATCTGTAGTGCTTTAAATGTAATAAGCTCTTCCACCCTTCATTGTAACAGCGACATTTTTGTTTGTGCAACCCAAACTGAAGTCAGTTCTCTGGTTAAAAAATTGTCAGTTCTCCCATCTTTCACCCGATTCCCCCCGGCTCTTTTGGAGTATTGGCCCGTTTTACGAAGGGACAGATGCTGAGTGCATAAGATACACCTGTAAGAACTTCTTAAGAAAAAAAATGTCTACTTTTTATTTGTATTTTTTGGCTCAATATTGGCCGTCAGGTGAGATGTAAAATAGCTTTCTTTGCCCTTGTTGGACAGAAAGATGTTTGGGGGGTATTTAGTAGAACATGGTGATGGTCTTATTTTTATTTTGATTTGTGTCTATTCTAATTTGTTACATTCCTTATGTTCTCTTGTAATTCCACATTGTTTTACTTGAAAGATTGAAACAAATGTAAGTTGAATAAAAAGACCAAAAATACATTATTCTTTGTGGATTTTAATTGAAATTAATTTAATTATGAATTTCTTGCACGTGGGGGAAGCCTATGCTAGGCCAAGATTAGTTGTTTATAGCATTGCTGTGACAGTAAGAAAACTGAAATACCTCAGTTATTTGGGTTAATGGTTGTCAAAGTGTAGTCTGGTTCCTTTCAAACCATCCAAACCAGTTTTTACACCTCTGTGCGTGTGGTAATGTTTATAAAGTAACATTTAATCCGATGCCAGCACAGGATTAATGATCTAAAAAATAAATTAGCATCGCCGGAGTGAGCACCAATCAGAGTTCAAGCATTTGCAAGCGAGAATTTAGATTGGCCATCTCTCCTTGCTCTCTTGACCCCGTGCCCTCGTTTCGTTTAGAGAGCGCTTGGCAACAACGTAAGCATGAGAAAATTCTCTGACATTTCCTCCTAAACGGCCATAATAATAATACGTGATACTGGCCCCCTCCAGAGCCACTGCGCGTTGTTTGACAAGTACAGCAACAGGTGCGTACTTTCATACCTCCGGACTAGTTCAGTTTATTCGTCGTGTGTATGAATATTAGCCGGCTAGCTAGCTAAGCTGGTTTTGAAACGCACTGTGTTTCCATGCCAACTGTAACTTGCAGTAAAAGTCGTGCGCAAGGGCTCAGACACGGCGATATTTTGCTTTATCCTCACTTGCAAACAGGTAGTTATAGAATATTTTATATATCACTAACGTTAATTAGATTTTTTTTTCTTCTCTATGAGAGTATTACGTTTTGTGGGTTGTTTTAATTTGCCTTACATTATGGTTGTCGTGTTTTAGTGTCAAATATTATTTCATTGTGGACTGGAAAAGAAAGTGTTTATTGCTTGCCACTTTTTTTAAAATGGTGCATCCATAGTCTCACTGCTAAAACAAACGAACAAACAATAAAAACATTCACAGACTTTGTTCTGTAACCGACAACATCTCTCTGGGTCTCTGCTGGTAAGATGTATTGGTTGTTAAATTTGGGTGTTGTGTATTACGTTTTGCTATCTGGTAATGGCTGATTACTTGAGAAAATACCAAAAAGTGCTAGAGCCAAAATAATTTAATAAAAAAAAGTTAAGATCAGGGTACACTCCAATTGATTGACAACAATATATCAAATAAAATTGGTCAATCAGGTCATATCAAATATTACATTTAGATTAATTTGACGTAAGGTAACCTCACTCTCTTGATAATGAATATAAACATTTAATAACTCTGTTTTGTAAAACTGAAGCAATATTGTCCACATTGACTAAGAAATTTCCCAAATAATGCTGAGTTTTGGCTATACCATGTCTATACCTTTTACAAAATAACTGTGGTAGTGTTTGGTGGAAAACGCTATGATCAAAATTAGAGAACAGCAAACAGACCCTGGATCTTTAATACTAGAGCATATATATGGCCACAGGACATCACTGCAGGGATTAAACCACGTTACTGAATGAGCTTCTGATAAACATTTGCATTCACTTTGCTCTGTATTTGTATGAACTTTCCCCAAACAATGAAATTTCTCCTCCACTTTTCATAGATTTTTTTATTTATGCTATTGACTAACATAAAAGGTTAGTTAGTCTAGGCTTTTGTTTCTTTTGATGTCGAATGGACTTTCAGCTCAAAAGTCACCGTAAGCCAAGATCCTTACCCTGTTCAGCAAGGAATTCCAGCTGAAATGTTAAACTGATTGACCATTCTATGAATTATTCTATCCACATGCTTTAGGCATGGGACCATAACCGGTTTCAGGGTTTACCGTGGTTAGGAAAAGGCAAGGTTTTAAAACTGCTAAAATTTTCTGTTATATCGTTCCTATGATATGTTTGTTTTTGTTTTTACAACTATTTTAGTTTTAGAACATCAGTATCTCCACATCAAAAGCTACTATGATTGAGAAAATATCTGAAAAGCAAATGTCTCAACATACAAACACACCTGAACAGTGCTGTGGCATAATTTATATCTAAAGATGCTTTTTCAGGTTGTAAAGAAATCAGTGAAACTAATGAAGATTGCGGAAGTAAATGATTTATTTTAATTATTTAGCCTGTTTAATGTTCCAAAATATTTGCAATATTTTTTATTTAATTATTAAAAAATCGTCTGTTCAAAGGGAAAAAAAGTTTTAGTTTTTTACCCAGACATTTAAAAAAGAAACATATTTTAGAGCAGTGATCACAATACCTTTAATCTGATATTTTTATCCAAGGTTATCAGAATCTTATACAGGCTCATGCCTTATCATGCTTTTATCATCGTTGCACAACATGGACACAATAAAGACATTGTAGATGCAAGATTTTAAAAATCACATATTATGATTAAATACCTTCTTGTGCTGCAGCTGAAGAGTTTACTTGTTGTCTTTCATCTTTACAGTGTGCTGTCCGAGAGTTTGTGTCAACTTGCTAAGCCAGTCGTTATTTAATTACATTTTACCAATTAATTAAAAAACATCACCACAATACCATTTAACTGTTAATTTTATACATTGTAACAAATATTTGTAAAGTAACAGTTTTCCATATTTTGTGATTCATGTTTTAAATGTTTAATTGTTTAAGCTTTTTTTTACGCATTATGAGACCTAGATCTTTCCTCTAATAACTTTTAACCTTAAAAAGTTGAAAAAAGTGACTTTTATGAATATATTTAATTGTTTAAAGCGGTGGTCCAGAGTGTATTTTAATGCTTGGTTGTGTTTATAAGATGCAAAGCAATGTGTGCTCATGCTTCATTTGTAAAAAAAAATATATATATATTTTCTTATATATCTTACTTTGATTATATAAAGCTACTCAGCTAACATGAAAACGACTGTCATATTTCCTAGTTTCTCTGAAAGGCCCGCCCTCAAGAGGCTCTAATGAGTCAGCTAACATACGCTGTTATTCACGGATCAGCTGATTGCACCTGGAAAAGAATCAAACCTCTAAGAGCATGCGCTGTGCCTCGGCTGTGTAAACAATGTTGTTCAGAGACGTTAGCTGTAGCAGTTTGAGCCTGAAAATGACACAGCTTAGCCTTACGCCCGCTCTCTGAAATAACATCTGACAATTAATCGTTCACATATATTCGGAATAAGCCTGTGTAAGTAATATGAAACATTCACATATTTTTTGCGAGTTCATTATTTGAGATGTAGAATGCACAGAAAACAGCCTCATAGAAAGACACTGAAAGCACTGGTGAAGATTGTGGGTATTTACAGCAGTTTGACGGATAAAAACGAATTTGTAGCTAAATTGTTAGCTGTGCCAAACAACATTTCCCGTTGTCAACATCCTTGTTTTCGTCCTTGCTGCAGCATAACATTAAAGCTAGAAACTGTGCATGTGATAGATCAGTTTTAACAAAGAAAAATACAATCCACAGCTTCATCTATTATGGTTGGTGGAGTTTTTAGTTGAATCCAGCGCTGAACTGGGAGAGATTCTGGAAGCTGTCCTGTCAAATGCTAGCTATATATTTTTTATAATTCTCTGGAGCATAATTAAAATAAAACTGTAAGCACTGCTCTCTTTGTCTCATGTCCTTTGGAAGCCCAAATAAAGAAACAGAAGAAGCTTTGTGGAAAAATGCAGCGTTTGGATGGCATTTTAGCTTTCTCTGCTATAACATTACAGCGCCTCTTGCCACGCCCCTTTTGCTGCGCGGGCTGTATGCGCATGGTCAATGCAAGTGTTTGTGATCTCATTAACACCGATGTATTTTTTGGTAGTCCCCAAACTGCGTTCGATTGCGTTGATTTTACAGATTTGTTTATTTATATATTATTTATGATACATGATACTATTCCAAACTACTAAAATGTCAATAAAAGTCAATTTGTTAAAATGTAGAGTTGGATTTTTCAACATCAAAAGTCGGCAGAGCAGAGATCAAGATCCCATAATGAAACTCACAACCATAAATAGACAGAAAACAAAATACAAAAACTGTTAATTAAAAGATAATGTTTACAGTATATACTCTTCAACATTAAATCATAAAGCTTTAGCATTTGTTTTGGCTGTAAATAAAACACTTTGGCTACTCGTAAAACTCGAACAAACTTGCACATCAGATTTCATATTTACTTAATGACCAACAATTAGTCTTTGCTAACTGCACTAAACCATATTACATTCTCAGCTGAAGTTACAATTAATTAAAAAAATAGTTTACTAGTTTTTATATGCACTTGAACGCTTGACAAGTGATCACTTTAGGCTCTGAACATCATTATTACATTGTTGCAAATGTAGGCTAAGTGTAAACAGCAACCTCTTTTCTAATAAAGTATGCTTGTTTGTTCTAGGTTCCAAGCACTTTTCTCATCACATTTGACAAGTAGGGATTGTCTTTCTTCCCTGATACTTGTCCGCCTCCTGGCCTTGATTTTCATGTTCATGTATCAGGTTTAGGTCTCCTGTGTTTCTAATAGGTCACTTGATCTTAAGGTTTCAGTGTGTCATCATGTAAGTATATCCAAGTTGGGCCACCCATCACAGAAGTGGCAAATTTGTTCCTTTTTGTTAGGGATTATATGCCAGTACCCAGACGACAGCGCGCAGTGGGGAGGATGATAGCCTTCTACTGGACTGCTAAAGCAAAGCAGTGTGAACTGAAGAATTTTCCATCTGGGGAAACCCTGCTGTCCTGCTTCTGAAGAGATCAGGTTAGTGCATATATTTTGAATTGGTTATAAAAGTGATTTGAAGTTGATGTTTGGTCACAAGAGTCAAAAGTGTTTTCTTAATGTCAGTTCTTTGATGGAGCTTGGTAAAATGGTTCCCTCTTTAAAATATATTTATTATTTATTTTGACCTTCTTAAGGAGGCCATGAGGCCAATCTATTTGAGCTCAGTGGCGAAAGGTCATGGTCTGGATTAACTGACTGGATCAAAATACAGTTACCTCAGGAAGGTCTCGCAGGAGTTTTATCTTCGTTTCAACTTGTAATTGACTTTGAGTTTTGTTCAAAAACAACT